TGCTCGAGCGATTCCAACAACGCCCTCTGTTTTGATCTGTCCACGTGCGGTATGACAACAGCTAAGGACCACAAGTTTGGCTGACAGTCTGACTTGTGAAATGTCAGTCATTGTCAGTAAGTAGTCTGCTTCATGTGGAGTCCCCATTGTGGAGTCAGCGGGGGTAAGAGCAATTTCTCCTCTTTCGGCATCACCATGAGCAGCGAAATGCACGAGACTCACTGACGGTATTCTCTGAAGAACTGCTTGCTTTGTTGCTTGCTCTCCTATTAAAAGATGAGATTCAGGTAGTAGTCTTGCAATCATCTGCGCTTCCGCTTTCGCGCCGGGCAATGGACAGAGATATCTTAACTTTCCCTCGAAATACACATCCATCACACTTGGCTCACCCACAATTAATGCTCCTTTTTGGCTGTGAGAGTTCGCTGGACTGTCCAGAATGAGCTTGAGAGTCGTCAAAGAAGGGACAATGCGTATCCGGAAAGAATCTGATAAATAGCGGTTACTTTTATCATGTAATGCTGCAAAGGGAACTTGGAAGAAGCAGCGATCAGGAACAACAATGATTTCAGATCCTTCTAGCAAATCACGTACGGGAGCAATCAGAATATTGTAAACCTGAAAAAGTGTTGGCAGTTCAGGTTCTGTGATTACTTCTTCCTCATCTAAAAGAGGACGCAAGGATGAGAGATTTGATTCGTTTGTAAGTTGGTTGGCGCATGAAGAGAAGAGTGATCGGTCTTCGCATTGCTCTTGAGGTAAAACGTGAAAATTTCTTAACAACCTTTCGTTTCCAAACAGGTCATCCACAGAGATTTTGCCGTGCTTGCTAACATAGCTTTCAAAAAATGTCGTTTTTCGGAAAGCTACCGGTTTTTTGTATGCCAAAACCCAGAAGAATATATTGTCATTGTAGTCATAGGAGATGTATAGGCAGGTGCTGTTGCCATTTCTCATAATTACTTCCTCAATGTCAACAAACGATTGTATGTTGATAGATATTTCTTTTTTAATCGAGTACCGATTTGACATAAGTTCTGCTAGAGCTCTGGCCCGTCCAAGTTCAGCAACGTGTAAAGCTTCATAAGGTCTCCCACAAGAACAACTCAACGAACAAAACAGCCGATACGCAGAGGCGTGCTTGTCAAAAAATGATATATTGCGGCAATCATTGCTTCCTAGAGAAAGAAGCAGTTTTTCGCAAATTTGAATGCTTCTCCGGAGATTCGATAAGGCTTCAGATGAGTTTCCTGTTATCTTTAAAGAACTTTCATGTAGAGAAAGGAAAGTTTTAAATTGCAAATCCATGTTTCCAGTCCCCCTGATAATTTGAAGAGCTTCCTCAAAATATTTTTGAGCCTTCGCCCATTCGCCAACCTTAACTGCCAGATGTCCTAAATTTATGTAGCATGTCGCTTTTCCGTCTTTGTCGCCGATTTTTGTCTTCATGGTAAGTGCTTTATGAAGATATTCTTCAGCCTTGGCATATTCTCCGACAGATTGAAAATAGGCTCCTAGGTTTATGTAGCATGTCGCTTCTCCGTGTTTGTCGCCAATTTCTGTCTTGATGGTAAGTGCTTTATGAAGATATTTTTCAGCCTTGGCGTATTCTTTGACATTTAGAAACACACCTGCAAGCTTTAAGTAGCATGACGCTTCTCCGTCTTTATCGCAAATGTTCGTCTCGATGGCGAGTGCTTCATGAAGAAATTCTTCAACCTTGGCATATTGTCCGACAAATTCAAACATTGTTCCTAGGTTTAAGTAGCATGAAGCTTCTGCTTGTTTGTTGCCAATTTCTGTGTTGATGGTAAGTGCTTTACAAAGATATTCTTCAGCCTTGGCATATTCTCCGACAGATCGAGATACAGCTCCTAGGTTTCCGTAGCATGACGCTACTGCGCGTTTGTCGCCAATTTCTGTGTTGATGGTAAGTGCTTTATGAAGATATTCTTCAGCCTTGGCATATTCTCCGACAGATTCAAACACAGTTCCCAGGATTATGTAGCATGACGCTTCTCCGTGTTTGTTGCCAATTTCTGTCTTCATGGTAAGTGCTTTATAGAGATATTCTTCAGCCTTGGCATATTCTCCGACATATCGAAACACAATTGCTAGGTTTATGTAGCATGACGCTTCTCCGTCTTTGTCGCCAGTTTCTGTGATTATGGTAAGTGCTTTCTGAAGATATTCTTCAGCCTTGGCATATTCTCCGACAGATCGAGACACATTTCCTAGGTTTCCGTAGCATGACGCTTCTCCGTGTTTGTCGCCAATTTCTGTCGTGATGGTAAGTGCTTTATGAAGATATTCTTCAGCCTTGGCATATTCTCCGACATATTGAAACACAATTCCCAGGTTTATGAAGCATGACGCTTCTCCGTCTTTGTCGCCGAGTTCTGTGTAGATGGTAAGTGCTTTATAAAGATATTTTTCAGCCTTGGCATATTCTCCGACAGATTCAAACACAGTTCCTAGGTTTATGTAGCAAGACGCTTCTGCGTGTTTGTCGCCAATTTTTGTGTTGATGGTAAGTGCTTTATGAAGATATTCTTCAGCCTTGGCATATTCTCCGACAGATCGAAACACAGTTCCTAGGTTTATGTAGCATGACGCTTCTCCGTGTTTGTCGCCAATTTCTGTGTTGATGGTAAGTGCTTTATGAAGATATTCTTCAGCCTTGGCATATTCTCCGACAGATCGAAACACAGTTCCTAGGTTTATGTAGCATGACGCTTCTGTGTGTTTGTCGCCAACTTCTGTGTTGATGGTAAGTGCTTTAAGGAGATGTTTTTCAGCCTTGGCATATTCTCCGAGAGCTTGAAAGACTGTTCCTAGGTTTCTGTAGCATATCGCTTCTCCGTGTTTGTCGCCAATTTCTGTCTTGATAGTAAGTGCTTTACGAAGATATTCCTCGGCCTTGGCATATTCTCTCACAGAGCCAAACACAGTTCCTAGGTTTACGTAGCATGACGCTTCTCCGTGTTTGTCGCCAATTTCTGTCTTGATGGTAAGTGCTTTATGGAGATATTCTACAGCCTTGGCATATTCTCCGACAGATTGAAACACACTTCCTGGGTATATGTGGCATGGCGCTATTCCTTGGTTGTCGAGAATTTCTGTCGTGATGGTAAGTGCTTTATCAATATATTCTTCAGCCTTGGCATATTCTCCGACAGATTTAAACATTATTTCCAGGTTTGCGTAGCATGACGCTTCTGCGTGTTTGTCGCCAATTTCTGTGTAGATGGTAAGTGCTTTATAAAGATATTTTTCAGCCTTGGCATATTCTCCGACAGATCTAAACACAGTTCCTAGGTTTATGTAGCAAGACGCTTCTGCGTGTTTGTCGCCAATTTTTGTGTTGATGGTAAGTGCTTCATGAAGATATTCTTCAGCCTTGGCGTATTCTCCAACAGATCGAAACACAGTTCCTAGGTTTATGTAGCATGACGCTTCTCCGTCTTTGTCGCCAATTTCTGTGTTGATGGTAAGTGCTTTATGAAGATATTCTTTAGCCTTGGCATATTCTCCGACAGATCTATACACAGTTCCTACGTTTATGTAGCATGACGCTTCTTCGTGTTTGTCGCCAATTTCTGTGTTGATGGTAAGTGCTTTATGAAGATATTCTTTAGCCTGGGGATATTCTCCAACAGATCTATACACAGTTCCTAGGTTTATATAGCATGACGCTTCTCCGTGTTTGTCGCCAATTTCTGTGTTGATGGTAAGTGCTTTATGAAGATATTCTTCAGCCTTGGCATATTCTTCGACAGATCGAAACACATTTCCTAGGTTTATGTAGCATAACGCTTCTCCGTCTTTGTCGCCGATTTCTGTGTTGATGGTAAGTGCTTTATAAAGATATTCTTCAGCCTTAGCATAATCTCCGACAGATCCAAACACAGTTGCTAGGTTTATGTAGCATGACGCTTCTCCGTCTTTGTCGCCAATTTCTGTGTTGATGGTAAGTGCTTTATAAAGATATTCTTCAGCCTTGGCATATTCTTCGACAGATCGAAACACAGTTCCTAGGTTTATGTAGCATGACGCTTGTCCTTCTTTGTCGGCGATTTCTGTCTTGATGGTAAGTGCTTTATGAAGATATTCTTCAGCCTTGGCATATTCTCCAACAGATACAAACACAGTTCCTAGGTTTATGTAGCACGACGCTTGTCCGTTTTTGTCGCCGATTTCTGTGTTGATGTTAAGTGCTTTATGAAGATATTCTTTAGCCTTGGAATTTTCTCTGACAGACTGTAATACATTTCCTAGGTTTATGTAGCATGACGCTTGTCCGTGTCTGTCGCCAATTTCTGTCTTGATGGTGAGTGCTTTATGAAGATATTCTTGAGCCTTAGCATATTCTCTGACAGCTTGAAAGATTTTAGCTAGGTTTCCGTAGCATATCGCTTCTCCGTCTTTGTCGTCAATCTCTTTCTTGATGGTAACTGCTTTATGAAGATATTCTTCAGCCTTGGCATATTCTTCGACAGATCGAGACACAGTTCCTAGGTTTATGTAGCATGACGCTTCTCTGTCTTTGTCGCCGATTTCTGTGTTGATGGTAAGTGCTTTATGAAGGTATTCTTCAGCCTTGATATATTCTCTGACAGATTTAAACACAGTTCCTAGCTGTATATAGCATGACGCTTGTCCGTGTCTGTCGCCAATTTCTGTCTTGATGGTAAGTGCTTTATGAAGATATTCTTCAGCTTTGGCATATTCTCTGACAGATTCAAACACAGTTGCTAGGTTTATGTAGCATGACGCTTCTCCGTGTCTGTCGCCGATTTCTGTGTTGATGGTAAGTGCTTTATGAAGATATTCTTCAGCCTTGGCATATTCTTCGACAGATCGAAACACAGTTGAAAGGTTTATGTAGCATGACGCTTCTCCGTGTTTGTCGCCAATGTATGTGTTGATGGTAAGTGCTTTATGAAGATATTCTTCAGCCTTGGCATATTCTCTGCCAGCTTGAAAGATTATTCCTAGGTTTTCGTAACATTTCGCTTGTCCGTGTTTGTCGCCAATTTCTGTCGTGATGGTAAGTGCTTGATGAAGATATTCTTTAGCCTTGGCATATTCTCTGGCACAATTAAACACAGTTCCTAGGTTTCGGTAGCATATCGCTTCTCCTTCTTTGTTGCCAATTTGTGTGTTGATGGTAAGTGCTTTATGAAGATATTCTTGGGCCTTAACATATTCTCCGACAGATCGAGACACAGTTCCTAGGTTTATTTAGTATGACGCTTGTTCGTGTTTGTCGCCAATTTCTGTGTTGATGGCAAGTGCCTTATGAAGATATTCTGCAGCCTTAGCATACTCTCCGTCAGATTCAAACATTATTCCTAGGTTTCCGTAGCATGACGCTTCTCCGTGTCTGTCGCCGATTTCTGTGTTGATGGTAAGTGCTTTATGAAGATATTCTTCAGCCTTGGCATATTCTTCGACAGATCGAAACACAGTTGCAAGGTTTATGTAGCATGACGCTTCTCCGTGTTTGTCACCAATTTTTGTGTTGATGGTAAGTGCTTTATGAATATATTCTCTAGCCTTGGCATATTCTCCGACAGCTTGAAAGATTGCTCCTAGGTTTCCGTAGCATATCGCTTCTCCGTGTTTGTCGCCAATTTCTGTCTTGATGGTAAGTGCTTTATGAAGATATTCTTCAGCCTTTGCATATTCTCTGACAGATGCAAACACATTTCCTATGTTTATGTAGCATGACGCTTGTCCGCGTTTGTCGCCAATTTCTGTCTTGATGGTAAGTGCTTTATGAAGATATTCTTTAGCCTGGGGATATTCTCCAACAGATCTATACACAGTTCCTAGGTCTATATAGCATGACGCTTCTCCATGTTTGTCGCGAATTTCTATGTGTATGGTAAGTGCTTTATGGAGATATTCTTCAGCCTTGGCATATTCTCCGACAGTTTTAAACATTACTCCTAGGTTTCCATAGCATGACGCTTCTCCGTGTTTGTCGCCAATTACTGTGCTGGTTGTAAGTGCTTTATGAAGATATTCTTCAGCCTTGGCATATTCTCCGACAGTTTTGAACATTACTCCTAGGTTTCCATAGCATGACGCTTCTCCGTGTTTGTTGCCAATTACTGTGTTGATTGTAAGTGCTTTATGAAGATATTCTTCAGCCTTGGCATATTCTCCGACAGATTCAAACACAGTTGCTAGGTTTATGTAGCATGACGCTTCTACGTCTTTCTGGCCGATTTCTGTGTTGATGGTAAGTGCTTTATGAATATATTCTTCGGCCTTGGCATATTCTCCGACAGATTTAAGCACAGTTGCTAGGTTTATGTAGCATGACGCTTCTACGTCTTTCTGGCGGATTTCTGTGTTGATGGTAAGTGCTTTATGAAGATATTCTTCAGCCTTGGCATATTCTCCGACAGATACAAACACAGTTGCTAGTTTTATGTGACATAACGCCTTTCCGTGCTTATTGCCAATTTCTGTGTTAATGGTAAGTGCTTTATGAAGATATTCTTCAGCCTTGGCATATTGACCGACAGATGTAAACACAGCTCCCAGGTTTCTGTAGCATGACGCTTCTCCGTCTTTGTCTTCGATTTGTTTGTTAACGTAGAGTGCTCTTTCGAGGAATGCTTGTGCCTCCTTGTATTCACCTTTTTGGTGGTACAGTGTTGATAAATTCAAGGCTGTGTTACCTTCTTCTTTTTTTCTGTCACAATTACGAAGTAGGACTAAAAGTTTTTTGCCAGATTCTATTGCCGGGGAAAGTTTTTTAATAGCAGTATTTCCATAAAACAGCCTCCTGTACAGCGCTATACTCCCTTCTCTAGCAAGTTTATGTTCGTTTTGTAAGGCTTTGTTGTTTAGGAGTATTAAGCACTCGTTCCACAGCTCGATAGCCTGGAAAACTCGTTTAGTTTTACAGAGAAAATCTGCAGCAATTATGCCATGGTAAATTGCTTCTTGAATCTTGACCATGTGGCTCTTTTCTGAATCTTACACAGGTAAAAAACAAGAGCAGAATAATTAGCAAATAGTCCCACGAAATAGAGCTAATCTTAAAAAAATGATATTAAGGAAGCCATTTAGAACTGTTATAATAATAAGCCTTTGGCTTAAGAAATAGCTAAGAAATCTGTAAGTTTTTCTTCATACTGAAGCTTTTTCTTATACGTAAGGACTCTGTGATCTGATCGGGTGTCATTTAAAAGTGTAAATCAAGAGCTGATGCTATCGTAGCTGATTCCACGAAACATTCTGTTTCGGTTAAATGGACTTACCCAGGATACACATTTACGAAAGGTTTCGGTTACGCGGATCGGCAAAATGAAGCTAGTGACACTTAAATGAGATTTATTTCTGAAAGAAATAAATGGTTTTATGCTTAATGTGACTGACCATTATTGTATTTCTCCAGCTACCAGCAAAGGACGGTTTCCTGTCATCCGGGTGATTTGTCACGAAAGTGTCATTTATGTCACGGGTCATGTAAGTCACAGAAGCGAGGCACAAGGCCTTCTTCCTCGCATTACAAGACAGTCAGAAACATTTTTGATGGCGACCGGATTTAGATGCAGGATGCGTGCGATTTATCAGTCTCTTTCGCTCTTCTTGGGTCTTACCTACCGAGCATCACCTCTTCTTTGAGATAAGTATTAGATTATTGCCCGATGGCTCACCGCTTACTCTCGGTGATGTATTGATGTCCACAGTCATGTTCGTGCACATGATCGTCTTGTTGATTGCGGGAATTCATACACGTTGCGGTCGTTTATGCTAATGAAATGCCATTGTTTATTGGTAACATCGAATTCTACATCCAATCGACCATTAATTTTTTATCTTTTCAGTTACACTGGCGTGTATGCTAGTCCGTTCGGTGTCCGTAGCACAGTTTCGTTGTGTGCCTCGTGTTCTTCAGCTACTTGTATCGCTGGTGCCAACTGGCGCTATATTTGAAATCAGTAACACTCGCCCGATCTTCATTTTTATTTATACCAGCCTGGAGCTGGGTCTCTTTGTTTATGATCTTGTTTTATGATTTGGAAAGACACTTTATTTATTCATAATTATTTTGAGTTTACCTTTATGCACATTTGAGCATTTTTGACCTTTGGACTCAGCTTATATTAGCCTGCGCGCAGACGAAATTAAACTCTGGTTAACTCCGTCTGCGAAACAGCGCCGAAATCCTTGTTCTGGACTTCCAGCTGTGTACCTAGATTTGAGTACGCGCCACGATTGGCCAGTTAAAAAAGGCCTTTGTTTTGTTTGTCGTGATCGCCAATCAGGTTGAAGGGGAATTCGAAACGCACTTCCGGTAATTCGTTGAGTCCGTTGGGGGTCCAGAACAAGGATCTCTGCGGTGCTTCGCAGACGGTACTAATCAGAGTTTAGTTATCGTCTGCACGCAGGCTAAGCTTATATGTATAATTAAAATTACAGTATTATAACAACAACAACAACAACAAAACAAAGCCAAACAAAACGATGCGTTATTAAACCCTACAGGCTAAAACGTGCATGCACGATACTTTCAGCACTGTTACAAGGTTTTAGAAATTACCTTGCAACCATTCTAACAAAGCTACCTCAGAGGTACAGTGAAGTGTATCAGCATATCAGGTTTATCGTTTGCTGTTCATATGTCAGTTTTGTCTGCATATTGTGTTTTTATCCTGTTGCATTGTGTATCGTTGTGTTCTGTTGTTTTCCTTTAGTCGCTGTCGGCGACATTCTGTCTGCCAGTGCTTACTTCTGGGCCGTTTTTTCAGTATGAGGCTTTGTTCCTCCACTTGTATTTGAGGCGTTGACCTCATTTTGTTGAGGTTTTGTCCTCATGTTGTATCAAGGCTTTGTCCTTGTTTTTGATATTGAGGCTTCGTCCTCATACTTTATTTGGAGGCTTTGGCCTCGTATTATATTGAGGCTTTGTCCTCATATTTTATTTTGAGGCTTGTCCTCGTAATTTGAGGCTTTGTCCTCGGCCTCGTATTTTATTTGAGGCTTCGTCCTCATATTGTACATTGAGGCTTCATCCTCATATTTTATTTTGAGGCTTCGGCCTCGTATTTTATTTTGAGGCTTCGTCCTCATAATTTATATTGAGGCTTTGTCCTCATATTTTATTTTGAGGCTTCATCCTCATATTTTATATTGAGGCTTCGTCCTCGTATTTTATTTTGAGGCTTCGTCCTCGTATTATATTGAGGCTTTGTCCTCATATTTTATTTTGAGGCTTTGTCCTCATATTTTATATTGAGGCTTTGTCCTCATATTTTATATTGAGGCTTCGTCCTCATATTTTATATTGAGGCTTTGTCCTCATATTTTATATTGAGGCTTTGTCCTCATATTTTATATTGAGGCTTTGTCCTCATATTTTATATTGAGGCTTTGTCCTTATATTTTATATTGAGGCTTCGTCCTCATATTTTATATTGAGGCTTTGTCCTCATATTTTATTTTGAGGCTTTGTCCTCATGTTTTATATTGAGGCTTCGTCCTCATTGTTTTATATTGAGGCTTCGTCCTCATATTTTATGTTGAGGCTTCGTCCTCACTGTTTTATATCGAGGCTTTGTCCTCATATTTTATATTGAGGCTTTGTCCTCATGTTATATTGAGGCTTCGTCCTCATTGTTTTATATTGAGGCTATGTTCCTCAGTTTGAGGCTTTGGTCCTCATTGTTCTAGGCCCCTGTTCCCTTGTTTGTACCGCTTATTTGATTTGTTTGCAGTGATATGTGTGTGGTTCTGTTTGTTGTATTTTTGTCTAGGGTAACCAGATGCCAATGTTATTTGGTTTGAATTTCTATTCACATTTTTTGCCTTTTTTGTCTATTTTTTAGTCTTTATTCGAGTAATCCGTTATTTTGGTTTACATGCAGCTACATCAATTTTAATCTTCGGTTTTGTTGGCTCCCCTGTTTTGATATGTGTGGACATTACAGTCCTGCATTTATTGTGATGCGACACTGTAATACGTTGCTTTATGCTTTACTCTCCACGTCACATCAGTGCTTTTAGCTTTGTTGTTTTTGAGGAATTTACTGTTTATTAGTTTTGTTTGGGAGATCCTGATTGATTTATTAATTGGTTACACATTGTTCTTTAATGGTAGCACATTCTGGCTTTTTTAAAGAAGTTGTTTTTATAGTTTTTTCATTTTACTGCAGGTGCTAAGGTATACACATGCAGCTCCCTTTCATGGATGCCTTTTCAATGAAGCCAGTCTTGAGCAGAGTACCAACCAGCTTTATCCAACCATCTTCAGCTTTCCCTCGGCATCTCTCTTAAGAAAGTCAATAGCTCTGCACTCTCTTTGGTTCCTCAATTCAGTTCAACATAGTATGCCAGAAATGTTCCAAAGAGTTGTACACATTCTGCTGATCAGTTTTCCAGGAGTTGTATCTCTAGTGCCGGGCTACTCAAGGGCAGCTGCTGCGTCCCTTGGCATGTGGCATTTACGTGTACATCTACTTGGGCAGAACTTTCCTCAGGCAACTTTGGCTTGCTTGGCATTGTGATTGGGTATACATGTAGCTCAAGTGTGTAGGCATTTTCCTAGGTGATTTCTGCTTATAGTACAGTTTCAAGCTGACTGTGTGAGCAGGGGCCATACGGCCATCTCACAGATTTTCATTTGAATCAGTTACATCAGTGAGTTACGTCAGACTTTTTATTAGCATCATTCAGGGTGACTGTGTGAGCAGGGGCCATACAGCCATCGCACAGATTTATTGTAATCAGCTACATCAGTGAGCTATTTCAGACTTTTGATAAGTATAATTCTGCATGACTGTGTGAGCAGGGGCCATACAGCCATATCACAGATTTCCAAATTTAATGCGTCCATTATGTCACTGAGCTATGACAATTTAGAGTAAATTGTTATTATTTAAATACATGTTTACTGTGTGAGCAGGGGCCATACAGCCATCTTACCGATTTCATTTTAATCAGTTACATTAACGAGCTATTTCAGCTTTTTGATAAGTACAGTTCAGCGTGACTGTGGGAGCAGGGGCTATACAGCCGGATCACAGTTTTTCAAATTAAATCATTTCATTATGTCACTGAGCTATGACCATTCAGCCTAAATTGTTATCATTTAAATTCATGGTGACTGTGTGAACAAGGGCCATACAGCCATCTTACCGATTAATTTTCAGTTCTTATCATTTCAACCTGGTTTAACTTTACAGCTTTTAAACACGTTTGAGCTTCGTATCGATGTGGCATTAGTGACTGACTGTGTGATCTGACAGGCTATGCAGCCATTTCCTTTATTCTACCTACAGTAGCCCATTTCTTTTGGTTACATCAATCCACTTCTGTATCCAGGACTTAGGAAAACGTTACTTAAAACTCATTTGCTTATGTAGGCCATTTTATTCCCATCTAGTGTCCAGTGCTTAGTGAATAAGTGCAATTTATGATGGCTGTGTGAACAAGGGCCATACAGTTATCTCATTCATTTTCACTTTTAAGCTGTTAGTTAACTTAAGTGATTCACACTTTTTGATCTGTATCAGATTCAATGATGTAAGTGCCAGTGACAAAGAATGTATACAATGTCCTACTGCTATGGACACACATGAGCCATTATGGCGCTAGTTGACTCTATTGTTGTAAGGTGTACACGGTTGGATGATTATAATACATGTATATTCATCTCAGCTCTCGCACATTGACCTTTTTTATTTGTAATGTGGTATCTTTCTTACCTTTAACCCCCAGAGGTTTTGTGTGACTGCATTGGTTGGGGGATACGTTCCCAATTTTTCCCATGTGGTTTTTCGGGTTTTCGTATCAGGCGGCGCACACCTTTTTCTATTGTACATTTTGATTTGTAGGTACCAGTAGTTTCTGTTGGCGGTCGTCTTGCTTTGGCCTCGGGTGGGGCGGCCCTTTCACTCGTTCCTTGCTCTGGGCTGTGGCGGGTGTGCCCTCACCTTTGCTGGGATAATGTTCTTGTGTATCTGGTTTTCCCAGCTTTATATGCTTTAATTTAATAAACGGCCACTCCCGTGGCCAAAATATCCCATAATGGGTTGGTGATTATTTTGTGTCCCAGCAAACAGAGCTCACCCAAAGCGAGACTCCGCCAACATCAATAACTTTCGTAATATGTAAAGGAACATGAAGCATAAAAGCAGTTAATTTGTTGAAGTAAATCAGTGATCATGAGTATCGTTTGTTTAAACCTTACCCTGTACAACATCTATCTGCACAGGGACACCCAACGACGGCTTCCTCCAAAATACGTTAAAAACAACTTTTTGGCTATCCAGAGCACTTTAAGAGGCCCTGCGCCTAAGAAACGACCGATGATTTCCGGTTAAAAAATAAAATCGGCCGATTTTTATCTCCCAAGTATAGCTTACCGAATACTATTTAAAAATGAAGTTTTTTTGTTTCAGTCTCGCTTGAAACCAAAAATATCGAGCCGCAAACTTTTCCCGTCTGATAGCAGCACAATCAGACATAAAATAAGC